ATTTAACGCTTATGTACCGTATAAGAAAACAAAACAATTGTCCTGTCAAGCCAGGCATTACGAAGCAACTGGTGTACTGCGCCATAGGATATGCTGCACCGAAGAAAAGTAAACTATTATCAAAAATTTTATATTATAATCAAACTATAGGTACTTTCTATCTTTCCTATTGATATTTATATAGAAAAATTTAACGCTTATGTACCGTATAAGAAAACAAAACAATTGTCCTGTCAAGCCAGGCATTACGAAGCAACTTGTGTACTGCGCGATGGGATATGCTGCACCGAAGAAAAGTAAACTATTATCAAACATTTTATATTATAATCAAACTAGGTACTTTCTATCTTTCCTGTTGATATTATATAGAAAAATTTAACGCTTACGTACCGTATAAGAAAACAAAACAATTGTCCTATCAAGCCAGGCATGACGAAGCAACTTGTGTATTGCGCTATAGGATACGCTGCACCGAAGAAAAGTAAACTATTATAAAACATTTTATATTATAGTCAAATTATAGGTACTTTCTTTCTTTACTGTTGATATTTATATAGAAAAATTTAACGCTTACGTACCGTATAAGAAAACAAACAATTGTCCTGTCAAACCAGGCATTACGATGCTACGTACTGGTGTACTGCGCTATAGGATACGCTGCACCGAAGAAAAGTAAACTATTATCAAACATTTTATATTATAGTAAAATTATATAGGTACTTTCTATCTTTCCTGTTGATATTTATATAGAAAAATTTAACGCTTACGTACCGTATAAGAAAACAAAACAATTGTCCTCTCAAGCCAGGCATTACGAAGCAACTGGTGTACTGGATACGGATACGCTGCACCGAAGAAAAGTGAACATTATCAAACATTTTCTATTATAATCAAACTATAGGTACTTTCTATCTTTACTGTTGATAGAAAAATGTAAAAATATAGAAACATTTTTTGTTCTAATCAAACTACCCAGTGAAAATTTTCGGACGCGGCAGTTTCTGATTTGTATTACCAGAAGCTGGGGCGACTCTAAATTTTGTTCAGTAGGTACTTTCTATCTTTCCTGTTGATATTTATATAGAAAAATGTAATGCTTATAAGGTACAGTATAAGAAAACAAAACAATTGTTTTGTCAAAGTTCATGGGGGAGAATTTAACACGTACATAACTCATCGAGATATGATGACAGTCACACAATATGAGATACTAAGACAATTAACTCACGGCGAGAGATGAAGCATGTACCTTATCAAAAACAGAAAATACAAAGTTCGAGATACGAAGATACAAATTCTATAAAAACGAAATATGAAGACATGAGTATTAAAATCACATGTTTGCTTGAATCGCAAGTTAACCAGGAATTTAAAAGCAAAGAAAATACCACAAAAATTCACCATATCTTTATAAAAGAAAATGTTTCGGAGTCCAGCTCCATCGTCAGTTCAAAACACAAAATTCTGTTCAGAAAAAGTTCAGTCCTAGAAACACAAATAAATCAATTAGTAAAGTAAAATGCACTACAAATAAATAGATAAGACATGAAAATAATGCTAGTAAACGTAAACGGCCTATCTATTTACTATTTCAAGAGGAAAGGAGCTAAAAGCGGCATTCAGACTAGGCTTCTGTTTGAATATATACAGGGATTATAAAATTCGTAGATCACTAACACCAGATGCGGAAGCTAGAATTTTGAAATCACTATCAGATACAGAGGTGTTGCACTGCTCGGCATGAACACGTACAGCAGAATGAGGTGGATGTGCAAGTAGGTTTCCTGTTCTATAACTCCTGCCCTTATGCTCAGCCAGCCTAGTATAGAAATTGCGTGCCGTCATACCGACGTACGCTGATGCGCACTGCGCACAACTTAAAGTAGGGAAAAGAACAGTAAACAACTTTCCTATTGTCACACTTAGGAACGACTGCAGTATACTGCACACTTAGGAACGACGTAACTTTTTCTGAACAGAATTTTGTGTTTTGAACTGACGATGGAGCTGGACTCCGAAACGTTTTCTTTTATAAAGATATGGTGAATTTTTGTGGTATTTTCTTTGCTTTTAAATTCCTGATGAATACATGATAAATACGAGTTACGGTTATATACGAGATACGATAAATACGAGATAACATAAATACGAGATACGGTAAATACGAAAAACTATAAATGCGAGATACGATAAATACGAGATATAATATATACGAGATACGATAAATACGAGATACGATAAATACGTGATACTATAACTACGAGATACTATAAATACAAGATACGACAAATACAACATACGATAACTACGATAACTACGAGATACGATAAATACAAGATACATTAACTACAAGATCCGATAAATACAAGATACGATAAATACAACATACGATAACTACGAGATACGATAACTACGAGATACGATACATACGAGATACGATAGATTGGAGACACAATAAATACAAAAAATAACGATAAATACGTAATGCGATGAATGCGAGATACGATAAATACGAGATACGATAGATAGGAGACACAATAAATAAAAAAAACGATAAATACGTAATGCGATAAATGCGAGATACGATATATACGAGATACGATAGATAGGAGACACAATAAATACAAAAAACGATAAATACGTAATGCGATAAATGCGAGATACGACAAATACGAGATAAGATAGATTGGAGACACAATAAATACAAAAAACGATAAATACACGATACGATAAATACGAGATACGATAAATACAATATACGATAAATACGAGATACGATAAAAACAATATACGATAAATACGAGATACGATAAATACAATATACGATAAATACGAGATACGATAGATAAGAGACACAATAAATACAAAAAACGAGAAATACGTAATGCGATAAATGCGAGATACGATTAATACGAGATACGATAGATAGGAGACACAATAAATACAAAAAAAAACGATAAATACGTACAATGCGATAAATGCGAGATACGATAAATACAAGATACGATAAATACAAGATACGATAAATACGAGATACGATGAAGATAAAGAACTCACGTCGTGACATGAAGCAGGCACCCGCGACGTCGGCCGGGACAGCCACGCCCACAGCAACACCGCGCAGAGGCCACCACGAACACAGCGGCGGCTCGTGGCAGACCAGCGCCGCCATGTTGGATGTCGCCCAAGCCAGACACTGGATGCGGTCGTCAATTGAAGCGTTGTTTTTAATAAGTATTTTGTCCTTTGCAAGTGCATTTGTATCGCAGCTGCTTGGTTGCCAGAGTTGACTTGTTTCCTCAACCACAGCGCCCGTTAAATGAAGGGATATTAAAAGTATGAGTTTCATTGGGGGCATGATTTTTTGAGTCAGTATTCTTATATAAATTTTACGTTAGAGTTTTTGACAAACTACGTTAGAGTTTTTGTCAAAATACGTTGGAGTTTTTGACAAGATACGTATGAGCTTTGAGTTTTGACTCTATTCATTCGTGCATATAAGATCGTTATGATCGTTACAAGAGTTTGTTACTAGAGCCCATGAGCTTCTATTTTGACTGCGCGAAGGTCGCAATTCAACTGGCAGAATTGCTCTCGGCAAATAAGTTAAAGAATTATGTCGATGCAAATCTTTTATGTCATTTTGGGCCGCTATGATCGCTTTGCTAAATCATTTAGGGAACTTACGATGGCATTTAGTCGCGGAATCTGTGATGATGTATCTGTCCTGCTGAATTCAGACGAGATTTCATTCAACGCAAAATATACCTTGTACTAGTATATCGAGATTGTCGAAAACTTCGGCAATTTAAATTTCTGTCCTTCTAATAAATTGCAAGATGCACGCTTGCACGGCCAATCAATAAGTATCTTCAAAGGTGTCTTCTAGAGCCATCCGTCTCATTGGCAATGATCGATTGAATCGTTTAGATTAAAGGGCCTCATATTAGAACAGACCTCATCAAAATACGCCAGGCACTGATAACAGGACGGATTTTACCAAAGGTTCAAATTGGTTGAAAAAATTACGAATCAATTTATAATCAGATTTATTTGATGCTTCATTAAACCTTTGCATATCTGGCAAAATATGTGAGCCTATTTCTAGAATTCTGTGTCTGATCGTACGTATCATCTATCATTAAGCTCTGTCCATGACACTGCAAATTAGGCTGATATATTACACGACCAGCTCAGGTGGCCACAATTTAACAATTTTGAAAGTGGTACAATTATACAAGATGCAACATAAAATGGAATGTTACATTGGATAATATTATCGGTTCGAATGTTTGTAACCTGTCGCCAAGCCTCAAGTGAAGGTTGATATCAAGAATTTACCATGAATATGAGAGCAGAGAAAATAGCCAAAATATTCAGAATTTTTTTTTTTTGCAGGAGAAAACGTTTCGGCGCTCAGCTTCATCGTCAATTCCAAAGCCTTAGACTCAAGTAAAAACCAGCATTTCTTGTTTTAGTTTACAAATTGTTTGCATTTGCCTTCTAGGTTTTTGAACTGACGATTGAGCTTCAGTTTTAAAATGCATGGCAAAAATTATTTTAACCGTTGTTATTAGAACTCTTTAATTGCTCGTAGAATAACGTATCTGGTACACGAGAATAACGTATCTGGTCACGTTTGAACGTTGCTTTGTGCAGCACCCGATATGATGAAGAAATCCTCGATATTCTGATCACAACGATTTGAAATCCGTAAAGTCCAAGCAATAGATGAATGTAATCTAATTCTAATAAATGTGAACATCTCTACCTACGAAATTATTTTTTTAGCATCGATTGATTTTGATCACCTTCAAAACCAAAGATTTATAAGAAATTAATCAAATTATCAATGCCGAACACACAGTGCCCCTCCGTCACTTGCGGCGGGGCAATAAAAATCTTTAAAAAATTTCCGACCTCGCGGAAAAGACCACGCGGCGGTTTCGAATAACTTACTGCCACCAAATTTGGTTTTTGTCCGCCGATAAGTTCATGAGCTTTGTTACTTTTAAGTTTTAAATAAATAACTTGTTAAGTTCCACTTGAATTTTGCTGCGTAGCTGCTAATACGCCTCTGCAGATGATGAGGCGATGAAGATTACCTTAAGCGGGGTTTGATATTCCATATTGGCATATTTCGAGAGAATATTTTTTCACAATGCCTCCATCATCAGCTTTGAAGCGAAGGTGAGCAAGATCATTTAGATTATAGCAATTTGTATGTAGAAAAACTTTTTTCTGTAATTTGTGTAGGATAGTAAAGTGTCAGCATCATCATAATTATGTACATAATATATTAATTGAATCATGGAAATATGGAAACTGGAACTGAAAGAATAATTACAGCCTAGCTATACTCACTAGTCACTACTGAGCCTATTGGCTACAGGTAGTTGTTCAGTCATTCAGTGTTCACGTTAAATTGTTCTTCAAAAATGAACTACAACTGGCAATCTGGCATGTCTGGCAACTAAACTAATTCGGAATATCAGTCAGTCAGAAGTTTCCTAAAATAGCAGGTGAAAAAAAATTTTTCACAGGAGTTTTTTTTTTTTAAATCACAGGCAAAAATGAGCCAATTTTCTTATTTTTACTGAGGAAGTTGGGAAAAGGCTTTAGGTATGGGTTAAATTGGCCACATTCTTAGGCATTTTGTCTGATTTGCATGTGGCTTCTGCTTAATTTTTCACTTTGACAAGAAGCTACAATTTATTTCTTATTTCCTGAGAAAGTAATTACCAAACAAGGACAATAAAAACTGGTAAAATTAACTATAAGTATAAGCATGGGCATTTTTTTCTCATTCATGAAGGCCTCTGTCCTATTTTGTTGAATGGTTCTTTGGCAAGTTTGGCTATAGTGGCAAAGCATAGTGGCAAAGCAGAGAGTTTTTTAGACTCTCCCTCAAGTTCATTTTTGAGTCCTATAAGTAGACAAGCAAAGTATCATGGATACCAGCATCATCATACATAAGAAATTGGTTTAAATCTTGAGTAAATGAGGAGATTAAAAATGAACTGATTCTAAAAAATCTCTGGTTTGTCACTATGTGGCAAAGCATAGAGTTTTTAAAATTTTTTCTCAAGTTTAATTTGAGTCCTATAAATAGACCAGTAAAGTTACTAAAGTATCACCATGGATACTACCAACATTATCATACATAAGATATTGGTTTAAATCACAAGTGAATAAGGAAATAAAAAATTAACTGAAAAATCACAGGTTGAAAAATCACAAGTTTGCCAGAATTGCCACTATGAACTGTTTGGTCTTCACTAGCATTGTTTAGAATGTCATCAGTGAATGCAACTAAATGAAGATTATTTCATGCCTTTTTGTTTGAAGAAAATTAATTACTCTTGTTATTCCTGTTTTTAATTAGATTGCAGTTGGCTATATGAATGAAAACAATTAAAAAATAATAGAGCAATTAAACTGATGCCATGAAAATAGAATGCAATTTTTTTCATTGGATTCATTGCTCTACATATAATCTACTTGCTTATCTTTCAATTTCAGTGAAGAAAAAGACATCAAAATCAGACAAAAGTGCATTGATGTGAGTCTGAAAGCAGTCAAGGAGCCTGGAGAGGCTTTAAAATCAAATTTATTAAGGTAAGTAATCTTGATATAGATGAGAATTGAGAATCAAGGTAATATTTCAAAATCCATTACTAAAATTTAGTGACAAAAGTAACAACTACAAATCTGGGCTGGCTGCTACATAATACTTAGTGCTGTATTTTGATGTCAGACTTAGTAAAGGCTATTTGATGTATTTATGATACTATGATAGATATTTAATTGAAAATTTTATGACAAAATGGCCAAAACTGATTTTTTTAGATATTTATCAAAATTGGCAATGGAGCAAAACTGTTCTGTCTTCCACATACTATTATCACACTGCAGGATTTCCTTTCCCATTTGACTGAGAGTAAATATATCTATTACCAACATCTGTTGCCAGAGTGATTGGGTCCCTGGTGAGCCAGACTCCTAGCGTCCTCACAGGAATTGCAAGCAAGAAGGACTCCCACGATGAAGATGGAGAGCATCAACCTGGATCAGATCCAGCTGAGGATCCTCTTGGTGTGTGACTTTTATAGTACCTACTTCATGTTAATTAGTTTTATTCTTTATTTAATTTAAATGTTTAAATGTAAATAGGTACATTTCCTAAATGTATTAAATTTATTTTAATTGTAATAGCTTTGTGAAGACATCAGATTTAGGCTGTTAGCCTAAAATTTGTAATGCTAATTTTTTCTTGAGTTTGAATGTTGTTTCTTTCCCAGTAGGACTTGTGGGATTTAAACCTCCTTGTTGCAGTTGTTGTCATAGAATTAAAACTTTTAACATTATACTGGATTATACCATACTAAATGTTACATTATACTACTGGCTGTTGACAGTATTGAATGTTTCTTTTTTGAATTTGGGAAATTTATCATGCATTGCTTGTAGTTCAAGGTTTTTGAATTTGTGTACATTCTTTTTTGATTTTATATCATATAATTACTTAATTTTCATTTATTGATTCAATTTTCAGTATTTAGTTGCTGGCTGTTGGCCGTTCTGACTGGCATGCAGAGTTCTCCGCTTCTCAGAGCAGACAATGTTAAGCTACAAGTTAAAGTTCTAATGGTGAGAAATTATTGAATTACCGGTAGTTTTATTATTTATTTGATTCTCCCTGCATGCAAGTGATCAATCACCATGCATGCATGCATGCAGTTGGCAATCACTTAGTATCACTCGGTATGTGCCAGATCTGGTGGCTTTAGCCAATAGTCTCTTGATATATCTGTATTTAAAAAGAAAGTTGTGCATATTTTACTGTTTGAAATCAAAATTAGTGTTTTGGAAGCCACTTATAGTCTATGGAATTTTACATTTTGTATAGGTACGTACTATTTCAAAAATTAATTTTTTTTTTCAAAATTTTCAAAAATTATTTTCATTTTAATTTTATCTATTTTTAAAGTACAGTACACTATTTTAAATGTTGTCTTGTTGCACACATTTTTTGTGATTTGCTATTTTTTACAGACAATTTTGGCACATCAATCATTATTAATTTTTATTTAATTATTTTTAAACTTGTGGGACAATTCCTTTATGTCTTGATTGTACTCAAATGTAACTGCTTTGTATTATTCTTCCATTTTCAGACCATAGCCGCCAAGAATCCGCACTTCTTCCGAATAATTTTGGAGGACTTCTACAAAATTGGTTATGGTGAGGCACAAAATTGGTTATGATGAGGTGCAAAATTGGTTGCAGTGTGGCCCAAAAATGGTTAGAGTTAAGCATGAAATTGGCCCACTACTATTGGATTTGATGAGGCATGAAATTGGTTATGGTGAGGCACAAAATTGGTTATGATGAGAAACAAAATTAGTTGCAGTGTGGCCCAAAAATTGTTAGAGTTAAGCATGAAATTGGCACACTATTGGATTTGATGAGGCATGAAATTGGTTATGGTGTCACTAAGTTGGTTGTGATGAGACACAAAATTTCTTCTGATGAGAAACAAAATCTGTAATGGCAGGGCATAAATTGGCTGCATTCAAAAGTACATGTATGAGAAAAATTGCTATACAGATATCAGGCACCTAATTTCAAGAAAATTGAAACTTAGTTAGTGATCCAAAATTAGGGAAATGAGGCTTCATAGTGAAAATATAAATATAAAATATCATGTTCAAATTAATGCTAAGTGCACTGATCCTCGTCCTTCTAAATCACTAGAATATTTTGTTGGGACAAGCATAATATACCTGTGAATATGTTTGTGCTCCTAGTTTACATTTAGAAATTGATATGACAAGTCCAATAAACATTTCAATGTTGCCTGAAGTAACAAAATTATATTTGATAAATATCAACAACATCTACAGATTTTTTAAGATATATATACATATATCACTATAACGTTGTTAATAAAGTGATATTACTCCCTTGAACCTGCATTTTGATCAACTAATGTCATCTGAAGAATATTATTCGACCCTGAAAATTTAAATTGACGAATTCTCTGGCCATTAACCACCCGTGTTGAACCAAAATATATCACTATATGTATATATATTATTTATGTAATCCATTACTTGATAGTTTGTGACGACATCAGTTTTTTTTTTCAGATGCTGTCATATTGAACAGCGAGCAGCTGATGTCAGGAGTTAAGAATGCAGAAATGCTTTTAAATGAAGAAAGTGAGGTGGCAGATCTTTCTGATGGATTCTTTACAGCTACTTCTGGTGAGTGGTCATCACATCCACACTTTTGGTACATGCACAACCAGAGTAGAATGCCAGAATTGACGGTTCACAACCAGAGTGGAATGCCAAAATTGGCGGTGCACAACCAGAATAGAATGCCAGAATTAGCGTTTCACAACCAGAGTGGAATGCCAGAATTGGCGGTGCACAACCAGAGTAGAATGCCAGAATTGGCGGTGCACAACCAGAGTAGAATGCCAGAATTGGCGGTGCACAACCAGAGTAGAATGCCGGAATTGGCGGTTCACAATCAGAGTGGAATGCCAGAATTGGCGGTGCACAACCAGAGTAGAATGCCGGAATTGACGGTGCACAACCAGAGTAGAATGCCGGAATTGGCGGTTCACAATCAGAGTGGAATGCCAGAATTGGCGGTGCACAACCAGAGTAGAATGCCGGAATTGGCGGTGCACAACCAGAGTGGAATGCCAGAATTGGCAGTTCTCAATCAGAGTGGAATGCCCGAATTGACGGTGCACAACCAAAGTGGAATGCCGGAATTGGCGTTTCACAACCAGAGTAGAATGCCAGAATTGGCGGTTCAAATACCAGATCCATGGTTGAACTATATAAGTTTGACCCACGAGGATTTCCGTCTTTAAGTTCAGCTTTCTTGTTATGTCACTGAGACCTAATCATAAACAAACCCATAATTCCCATGACGGATTGGTTGACTGGTTTGATCGCATTTTGGTGATTGGTTAATGCCCGTGACGTCAGTCAGATCAGTGACGTCACAGGCGAACAACAAACTTCATCCGCAAAAATGAGCTTCTCATGGGTCAACCTTATACTAGTTCAACCATGTTACTGATCCATCTAACCTGTTAACTTGACCACTTCCAAAATATGAGCTAAATATAATAGGAAAGTAGAGTTTCAGTTTCTTATCTAACATTATATGTGCACTAATTCATATATTAACATTCCTGAATTCCATCCTGTCCACAACATAACTTATATAATTCTCATTAGGTACCGTAAACTGGGGTAACTTTGACTCCCGGGGTAACTTTGACCACTTTTGGTTTTTTAACAAAAACCCCCAAAACTCAAAAACCATTTGGCATAGAAAAATTTTGTCAATGGGCATTAAAGACCTAATACTGAGGCTACGTAACACAATAGAAAGATTTAAAAAGTTTGCATATCTAATAGGTTAAAAAAATTAAAATGTGACCCACAAAAAAAGCTATTTTTTAAAGCCTGTCAGAGTACCCTCTCCAATTTTTTTATTTTTTGGCAAAATAACTCCAGGTTGTGATGCATTGTAGTAGAACTCTTCTAGTTACATATGCAAAAGACAAATTTGAGAAAAGTGTCATAATTTGCAAATGGGGGGCGCCGCCCCCCAATGGGGTAACTTTGACCACCTAATGGCAGCCGTGACGGGGTAACATTGACCGGCTTGAAAATTAAGTTAAAATTACCATAGGTACCTATATAACATATTTTATGTTTGATACACCAATTAATGTTTTTTCTTCATGTTTCAGACTCTACAGAGTCTTGTATATGGTAATTTTAGCTTAATTTCCAAACTGGTCAATGTTACCCCATCACGGCTGCCATTAGATGGTCACATTTTGCCCATTTGGGGGCGGCACCCCCCATTTGCAAACTATGACACTTTCCTAAAATTTTTTTTTTGCATATGTAACTAGAAGAGTTCTACTGCAATGCATGGAGTTATTTGGAGTTATTTTACCAAAAAATAAAATTGATTTTACCACCCGGTCAAAGATACCCCCAGAGCTGGGGTAAAAAAGACCAGCGATTTTTTTTTAATTACATCAAAACTATGAGAGGCAGGAGCCAGCAATTTATGGTGAGTAAAGCTAGAGTATAGACCTGTATTTTGCATGTTTCAATTTAAGTTTAACTTATCTAGTAAAAAAAATGGCATCATTTTGAAAAAAAAGTGGTCAAAGTTACCCCAGTTTACGGTATTGAATTATCTAAATAATTATAATAGTTTTACAACTACTCAGGATTGTGGTTTGTTAACAATTATACTTGTTTATTAACCCAATAAAAACACTTCCCTCCTCAATTTTATACAATAGTAATGAATCCCCAATCAATTAGAACCCTCAATTATATTCATTATTAGTTGAAATTACTACTATAATTCATTGCCCAAATGTGATTATTTGTATACCAAAGTTCAATCCATGAGTCTGTCAAAATTTATTGCTTCAATCAAATGAAACAATTTATTAACCCATAAAAAAGTCCAATATAAATGTTGCTCTGTATTTCCTAGCAACTAGCATTGAAACAAATCTTAGCAGGAGTAGCCATGCCCACCACAACATGCACTTGACACCTGCTGATATATATTAAGTTTTGTAAATGTGAAAAAATATAACTCAGTTATATTTCACTGCAGTGAGTGACAAAGAGTGCATTTTCTCATTGACAAAAACATGAAGTCACAGACGGACATGGCGAGCACAATAGTGCATTTTTTCCATAAATTTGAAAATGCGCTAAAAGTACAAGTAATCCAAGAAATTATGTAAAATATTCAGTAAATATATGCAAGTAATCCAAGAAATGATGCAAAATATTTTTAAATTTTTCTAAAGTTTATTCATATGCACAGGAGTACCTCCATGCCTGATAGCGCTAGCAACGCCCCGCAAGCGCCCCCCTGGCGACGGGCTCAATGACCCCCGTCGCTACGCTCCCATGAGCTCCGTGCTCTCCTTCCTTGGCAAGACTACGCGCCAGCCCCACGTGGACCTCTCGTCGCCCCACGCGCGTCAAGTCGTCATCAGCAGCGTCCTTAAGGTCTTCAAGGCTCTTAGTGATGAATTGTTTTAGTTTGTGTTGCTTTGTTGTTGCAGTCCCAGGCCATGCTGTAGTCCCAGGACATGCTGTAGTCCCAGGCCATGCTGCAGTCCCAGGCCATGCTGTAGTCCCAGGCCATGCTGCAGTCCCAGGCCATGCTGTAGTCCCAGGCCATGCTGTAGTCCCAGACCATGCTGCAGTCCCAGGCCATGCTGTAGTCCCAGGCCATGTCATGCTGTAGTCCCAGGCCAAGCTGTAGTCCCAGGCCATGCTGTAGTTCCAGGTCATGCTGTAGTCCCAGTCCATGCTGGTGCATTGCTGTTGAATATTGAATTGCTGCAAAGTTTGACTGATTATGAAAGTTTAATAGCATAAGTCGAACCAACATAATTAAAAGTCATTCAAAACCCTACTTATGAAGGCAAAAAGAAAATTTGTTCCATTGTTTATGTTGTATTCTCAATGAGTCAAATGAAATTTATTGTTGGCATAGGCCGATCGAAAAATAGGTTACCAAAAGACATTTTAATAGAATACAAATTCTATGAACTATACCAAGAAGATTAACTTGCGAACATTTTTGTGCATTTGTGTTTTCAAGTTGTTATCGTTGACAGATCCTAGAGCACATCGTGGAGCCGCTGCAAGCCTTGTGTCCAGAAGACTGTGTGCTCTGTATATATGAACTGGCTGCCCTGGCTGTGCTCAGCCATCGCAGCCATGTGGCTGTACAGCAGCCAGCTCTGGCATTACTGGCACAGCTTCTTCAGCTGGCTGGGGTGCCATCTGTTTCTTCAGTAAGATTCTAAGTATTAATAAATAGCATAATACATTATGATTATTTTTAATCGTTTTAATGATGAAACTAATCATTCATCAATAGCATACATTAGTTTCATTTTTAATCGTTTTAATGATGAAACTGATCATTCATAAATAGTATAGTACATTTAGATTATTTTTAATCGTTTTAATGATGAAACTAATCGTTCATGAATAGCGTACATTATGATTATTTTTAATCGTTTTAATGAAGAAACTAGTCATTCATGAATAGCGTACATTATGATTATTTTTAATCTTTTAATGATGAAACTAGTCATTCATGAATAGCATAGTATATTATGATTATTTTTAATCGTTTTAATGATGAAACTAATCATTCATGAATAGCGTACATTATGATTATTTTAATCGTTTTAATGATGAAACTAATCATTCATCAATAGCATACATTAGTTTTATTTTTAATCGTTTTAATGATGAAACTAATCATTCATAAATAGCATAGTACATTATGATTATTTTTAATCGTTTTAATGATGAAACTAATCATTCATGAATAGCGTAGTACATTATTATTATTTTTAATCGTTTTAGTAATGAAACTAATCATTCATGAAAAGCGTACATTATGCTTATTTTTAATCGTTTTAATGATAAAACTGATCATTCATGAATGGCATACATTATGATTATTTTTAATCGTTTTAATGATGAAACTAATCATTCATGAATAGCGTACATTAGGATTATTTTAATCGTTTTTATGATGAAACTAATCATTCATGAATAGAGTACATTATGCTTTTTTTTAATCTATTCTATGATGAAACTCTTTCTCCAAGTCAAATGACGATTAAAAGAATTTAAATGGCTATATCTAAGTATTAATCATTCATGAATAGCATAGTATATTATGCTAATTTTTAATTTTATCATTCATAAATAGCACAGAGTATTGTGATTTTTAATCCTTCAATGATAAAACTCTTTCTCTCCGAGCAAAATGACGATAATGCATTCATTATGCTTATTATTACATTATACTTATTTTTAATTAAATTAATGATGAAACTCTTTCTCCAAGCCAAATGATAAAAAAAATTTATTTTAGTAAATGGTCATATAATAATCTTAATAACATCTTAATCTTTTAATTATAACCTTAATAAATAGCCATATTTCTGTATGATTATTTCAAAAAATGGCAGATATATTAATAAACTTTGCACGTCTATAGTCATTTTCGCATAGAAATTTATTTTTAAATATTATTTGTAATTTAAAATACCAATATTAAATGATGGCTGATTGTTGATTACATCATTTGTGTGCCAGCTGTACTTTTGTAATAATTCTTGATATGTCGTTTGGAAGTAATACTGATGAATTTTTTCTCCAATTTATTGAGTACGTACAAATATGTATTTATTCATTGAATAAATATATTATGTAAGTAAATATATACATAATATTTATTTACTTTACTTTACTTTATTATTTATTTATCTATTTTAATTTACAATATTTAGTATATAAATAAGTACATAATTTGTACCTATGTATTTATTGACTAAATATATAAAGTAAATAAAGATTAGAGCTTAGGATCATCAGAGGCTGACCCACTTATCATATGGCTGACCCACTTATCATATGGCTGACCCACTTATCATANACTCATCATATGGCTGACCCACTTATCACATGGCTGACCCACTTATCACATGGCTGACCCACTTATCACATGGCTGACCCACTTACCACATGGCTACCCACTTATCATATGGCTGACCCACTTATCATATGGCTGACCCACTTACCACATGGCTACCCACTTATCATATGGCTGACCCACTTATCATATGGCTGCCCCACCCCACTTATCATATGGCTGACCCACTTATCATATGGCTGACCCATTTGCTCCCCCAGGTGCAGAAGCTGCTCGTGGACGCTGTGCTGGTGGCGCTCAGGGACGCAGGCGCCAGCGGTGAAGACTGCCGGCCTGGTGAGCTGTGTTGTAGTGTAGGATATTATAGGAATATTTTAGTATAGGATATTATATTATAGTAATATTGTGATATAGGTCATTATTCTCATTATATTATACTAATATTGTAATATAGCATATTATATTATAGGAATATTTTAATATAGGACATTATGTTATACTGATATTGTAATATAGTATATTATATTGTTCTAATATTTTAATATAGGACATTATATTATACTGATGTTGTAGTGTAGGATATTATGTTGTAGTAATATTTTAATGTAGGATATTATGTTATATTAATATTTTAATATAGGATTTTATATTATACTGATGTTGTGATATAGTATATTATATTGTAGTAATATTGTGATATAGGACATTATATTATACTGATGTTGTAGTGTAGGATATTATATTGTATTAATATTTTAATATTGGATATTATGTTATATTAATATTGTAATATAGGATTTTATATTATACTGATGTTGTAGTACCTATAGGATATTATATTATACCTATACTAATATTGTGATGTAGGATATTATGTTATAGTAATATTGTTAAATAGGACATTATATTATACTGATGTTGTAATATAGTATATTATATTATACTAATATCGTAATACAGGATATTATATTGTAGTAACATTGTAGTGTAGGATATTATGTTATACTGATGTTGTTGTGTAGGATATTATATTGTAGTAATATTTTAAAATTGGATATTATGTTATATTTATATTGCAATATAGGATTTTATATTATACTAATATTTTAATATAGGATATTATATTGTAGTAATATTGTAATATAGGATTATATTATTTTATGCTGATATTGTAATATATTATATACATGATATACTTAAGTAATGTACAAGTACGATATACTGCTATATTGTACTGCTGATTGTACTACAATTTGATCTCATTCTTTATTATTGTACTGATTCCATTGCTTTACTGTTCTTTATTTTTTATCATTAATTCGCAAAATGTTTCATAATATAAAACCGTTTGGGTTTTAGGAAAATAGTTTTTTTACATTTTCAATTTGAATTAACACAGCCACTGCAGACATCAATTTGAATTTTAATTTTTTTTCAATTTGAATTGACACAGACACTACAGACCTCAATTTGAATTTGATTTTTTTAACAATTTGAATTAACACAGACCATGCAAACCTCAATTTGAATTTGAATTTTTTTGTACAATTTGAATTTGAATTTTTTTATACAATTTGAATTTGAATTTTTTTGTACAATTTGAATTTGAATTTTTTTGTACAATTTGAATTTGAATTTTTTTTACAATTTGAATTTGAATTTTTTTGTACAATTCAAATTTGATTTTTTTTTGTACTACAATTTGAATTTTAATTTTTTTGTACAATTCGAATTTCTTTTACAATTATAGTAATTAACACAGACGCTGCAGACCAGGAAGAGAACGTGCAGCATCTACAAGCTCTGTGCAGCGCAACTGCTGCTCTGCGCTCTGCACTCCCTCGTCTGCACGGCAGCTCTGCACGACACGTGCACGCTCAACTCTGCGCCTTGCTGGCACATCCTGCCTGGAACTTGCGTGTCTTGAACGGTGAATCCGGGAACATATTACCTTGAAAATTTAATTATTTTATTGTTATTTTCTTCTAAATTCAATTATTTTATTTTTTCTTCTAAATTTAATTATTTTATTTTATTTTCTTCAAAATTTAATTATTTTATTAGATTTTCTTCAAAATTTAATTATTTTATTACTATTTTCTTCTAAATTTAATTATTTTTTATTATTTTCTTCAAAATTTAATTCTTTTTTATTATTTTCTTCAAAATTTAATTATTTATTATTATTTTCTTCAAAATTTGATCATTTTTTATTACTTTCTTCTAAACGTATTTATTTTATTTGATTTTCTTCTAAATTTAATTATTTTATTTTTTCTTCAAAATTTAATTATTTTATTTTATTTTCTTCAAAATTTAATTATTTTATTATATTTTCTTCAAAATTTAATTATTTTATTATTATTTTCTTTGAAATTTATATGTCAAAGAAAATAATATATTATATTATTTATTTTATTTATTATATATATTAGTATTTATATATATAATAAATTTATATTAATTTATAGATTGATTAAATCCTTCAAGATTGAATTGAATTTTAATTTTGAAAGATTACTTCCTCAAAATTTTATTGTTTTATTATTATTTTCTTCAAGTTTAATTGTTTTATTATTATTTTCTTCACAGTTTAATTATTTTATTTTTTTCAAAATTTAATTGTTTTATTATTATTTTCTTCAAAATTTCATTGTTTTATTGTTATTTTCTTCAAAATTTAATTGTTTCATTATTATTTTCTTCAAAGTTTAATTATTTTATTATATTTTATTCGAAATTTAATTGTTTTATTATTATTTTCTTCGAAAATTATTTAAATTTTTAAAATAGATTAATTAAATCTTTCAAGATTGAATTGAATTTTAATTTTGAAAGATTACTTCTTCAAAATTTTATTGTTTTGTTGTTGTTTTCATCAAAATATAATTGTTTTATTATTATTTTCTTCCAAATTTAATTGTTTTGTTGTTATTTTCTTTAAAATTTAATTATTTTATTATTATTCACTTCAAAATTCAATTATTTTATTATTATTTTCTTCAAAATTTATTTAGATCTTTAAAATAGATTGATTAAATCCTTCAAGATTGAATTGAATTTTAATTTTGAAAGATCGTTTCTTCAAAATTTTATTATTTTATTATTATTTTCTTCAAAATTTGATTGTTTTGAGACTATTTTCTAAAAATTTAATTGTTTTATTATTATTTTCTACAAAATTTCATTGTTTTGTTATTATTTTCTTTGAAATTTAATTGTTTTGTTGTTATTTTCTACAAAATTTAATTATTTCATTATTATTTTCTTCAAAACTGAAGTAAATCTTCAAAATAGATTGATTAAATCTTTCAAGATTGAATTAAATTTAAATTTTGAAAGATATTTTCTTCAAAATTTAAATGTTTTATTATTATTTTCTTCAAAACGGCAGTAAATCTTCAAAATAGGTTAATTAAACTTTACAAATAGGATTAAATTTGGTTTATGAACACGTCATGGACGTGTCCATAAATCCTTCAACATCGAATTAAATCTAACCAATTAATTGAAACGAAGTTGACCTATGACTCATGTAATAAAAAAAACATATCATAGCTTATAGAAACATAATTTTTCCATTCATTCACTCCTTTATTAACTTGCTAACACAAACGTTTGTGTCACAGAAGTGTTGCTGGTGGAGGTGGTGATGCTGGTTGCCTGCTAACACAAACGTTTGTGCCACAGAAGTGTTGCTGGTGGAGGTGGTGATGCTGGTTGCTGGTTGTCAGATGCTGGTTGAGCCTCAGCAGCAGCAGTTGCTCCCGATACTGGCCGACAACATCACTTGTCCACAGGTTGTATTTTATTTACTATTAAACCTGTAACTTGCATTTTTAGTTCATATATTATACGAGTTATCCTTAGAGTTGTAACTTGTAACTTGCACGAGTTATCCTTTAGAGTTGTAACTTGCATGTTTAATTCATATATTATACGAGTTATACTTGAAAAATTTCTTGGTAAAATAGAATGGTATATCGCCTGAAAGTTGATTTATGAATAATGTGGGCTAAATAATTTTAATGTGATATTATGAATGAAATTGATAGTTCGGCATTAAGCCGGGACTTGAGTAGTAAAGTTTTACATTTTGAGTTGTCACCGGACGTTCGCCTCAACCTTTAATTTTGTCAGATTAAATTAACTTTAATTTGACAAAATTAAAGTTAATTAAATGTCAAATTTAATTAACAAATTAGTTAACAAATTAACTTTAATTAAATGTCAAATTTAATTAACAAATTATTTGCCAAACGCCAGCAACTATCTTGTAAAAATACGCTGACTCTGATAATAATTCAATTTCATTTTATTGCATTGTGATTTAGACAAATAAAACTTCATAAAACCGTAATTTTATTTCAGCGAAGAACAGTTCAAAAAAGGCACGTTTAAAATTCAAACTAGAGTGACATCAGATTCATGATCGTGAAACGGTTTGATAAATCTTTTACGGCACACTGACTAGCCGACTAACTGACTGAGTTAGACTAATTGGCTAACTTACTTACTGGCTAACCAACCTAATTGGCTAACTGGCTAACTGATTAAACGACTATCTGACTAACCGACTAACTAACTGGCTAAACGACTTTGGCTGACTGACTAACTGGCTAACTGATTAAACGACTAACTGACTAACCGACTAACTAACTGGCTAAACGACTAACTGGCTAACCGACTAACTGACTAACCGACTAACTGACTAACCGACTAACTGACTAACCGACTAACTGACTAACCGACTAACCGACTCTCAGCCGCTCAGACCTGAACTTGTACTACTTCGTTACCGCTGAAGTTAACAGTTAAGGTCCGACATCAATGTTACTAAGGCAGCTACGCCAGACCTGCATGGCTTTCGGTATGCACATGAGATTAATAATATAAACGGGGCTAATAGCGAACAACGTCTACCGTTCACAGAGTGAAGCCTGATAGCAAAAAGAAGCATGTTGTTGACAAGGGATTTGGTTTTATTGAAAGCCACTAACGTAGCATTGAGCATGGATGAAATTCATTGAATTTTAATATAGGTATTCTATTTACCCACAGGTTGTGAAGTGCTTGCTGCCGCAAGTATTACTGAGGGACTTGGAGGAAGCTATTAGTGAAGCTTGTCCTACGAATGCTAGTGCTAGTACACGTAATAACACCAATGCTAGTGTAGTCAAGCAAGAGAACACTAGCAACCGTGCTGTCATAAACATGCAGCACTCTAGCACTGTCTGGCAGATCGTGCTGCAAAAAATTTCTGTGATTCTTAACACGTGGGACGATCTGCTCGACAATCACTGTAAAAATACTGATATCGTTTCAACTAGCGTTGCCTCTACTAGTGTTGGTGCAACTAGTGTTGCTTCAACTAGCATTGCCTCTACTAGTGCTGGAGCTACTAGTGTTGCCTCTACCAATGTTGCCCCAACTAGTCTTGCCCCTGCTACTGTTGCCCCTACTAATGCTGGCGCTACTAGTGTTGCCCCTGCTAGTGTTGCCCCTACTAGTGTTGCCTCGACTAAAGCTGCCCCTGCTAGTGTTGCCCCTGCTAGTGTTGCCTCGACTAAAGCTGCCCATGCTAGTGTTGCCCCTGCTAGTGCTGGCGCAACTAGTGTTGCCGCTACTAGTGCTGCCTCAACTAGTGTTGCCCCGACTAGTGTCGCCCCTGCTAGTGCAGACACTAAGGTCAGCCGTGGGACCACCAGAAGTGACCGCAGTGAAGTCCTGATCGCCGCCGCGGCTCCCGCGTCAGGAGCAACAGTGACGAGCGCGAGGTGAGATCAACTGTCTGCATCACTTCTGTGTGACTTATTGCAATGTGACTTATTGCATTGTGACTTATTGCTATGTGACTTATTGCATTATTGCTTATTACAGTGTAACTTATTGCATTATTGCAATATTACGTTGTGACTTATTACAATGTGACTTACTCCATTATGGCTTATTACCGTATGGCCACCTGCATTCTGACTTATTGCGATATTAATTTTAATTATTGTAGTATGACTTAACGCATTATTGAGACAAGGTTTTCGTATAAGCAGACTGCACTGTTAGAAAAATTACCGCTAACGGTATTACCGGCGTTTCAGTGGCCGGTCGGCACGTGAAAAGAAACACCGTGTCGCCGTTTTTATTATAATTTAACACTAGAAATCCGTAAAACATCTTATAAAACGGCGAAACAGTTTATTTTCACGGGGCGACCGGCCACTAGAACGCCAATGGGACCGTTTTTTCACCGTTTTTAGCTCATTTTCTCATTTATGAAAAAATGCACTATTGTGATCGCCATGTCCGTCTGTCTGTCCGTCCGTCCGTGACCTCAAGTTTTCGTCGACGAGAAAATGTGCTCTCTGTCACTCACTGCAGTGAGTACTGAGTTTTATATTTTCTAACAGTGTGATAATATAAGTATTTTTGCATGACTACAGCGCTGACGACGTCTCAGCAGCAGAGAAGTTGTCGAGTGTCAGCGAGTGTATAGCTGCTGTCAGGGAATATATCGCTGCTGCTGCTGCTGCTGCTGCTGCTGCTGCTGCTGCTGAACAAGTAAGTTATATCTGAATAATAATTCGATGATACTGTGAACGATGGCGATTGTTTATTATTATCTACAATTTTGTTAATGTCATTCTATAGTACCTATTTTTATTTTTTTATATTTTTATTTATTTATTTTTTATTATCTAGCATTCTTGTATTTTATTTTGATTTTATTGTATTTTTACTTACTTTATTTGTATGCATTATTCGTTTTATCATATGCCGGTCAATTTGATAACATTAAAGCCCGTACTAAATGCAGTAGGTAGCAGTAGTTGTGCGAGGTCAGGTCTGAGTGGCAGTCAGTAAGAAGTCAGTCAATTCGAGTCAGTCTTGCAGTGAGGTTCCAACTGAGCTGGGTCTATACTTTCAAAAAAAGTTAAGAGATAGTAACTTCATCAGCCAATCATTGACGGCCTTTCAAGCAAAATTCACCAATCATAGACAAGAAAATAGAGCGTAAGTACTTACGTTCACTTAATCAAAGACAAGAAAATAGAGCGTAAGTACTTACGTTCACTTAGCGAGTTTTGAAAGTAAGACCCCTGGTCTCGATCTTGGGCCTGTACCTTGAAAATTTTATCAAGCAATTCATGGATCAGTGAGCTGTCTGCTACGTTTTATTTAGCATATAGTTTTGTATGTATTAGGATATTGAGCTGCAGTTGTACAGTTGTCTAATTTCAGGATATTGAGCTGCAGTTGTACAGCTGTCTAATTTCAGGATATTGAGCTGCAGTTGTACAGTTGTCTAATTTCAGGATATTGAGTTGCAGTTGTACAGTTGTCTAATTTCAGGATATTGAGCTGCAGTTGTACAGCTGTCTAATTTCAGGATGTTGAGCTGCTGTTGTACAGCTGTCTAATTTCAGGATATTGAGCTGCAGTTGTACAGTCTAATCTCAAGAGTTACAGCTGCAGTTGTACAGTCTAATCTCAAGAGTTACAGCTACAGTTGTCTGCTCTCAGGAGATACAGCTGCAGTTGTACAGTTGTTTAATTTCAGGATGTTGAGCTACAGTTCCTACCAAGAAGCATCCTTCATCAACTCTCCGAGCTTGTCTTCACTACCCTCTCCTCGAAGCAACATTCTGATGTAGTGAGTTCGCCAAATGATTTATTTCAGTTACTAAAATTCCGATCAACACTGATTGAGAGATTAAATACATTGTGATAATTCATATTATATGCTACTAATTGAAACAATTCCCGAGACATGAAGCATGGATCCATTGCCAAATGATTTATTTCAGTTATTGAAATTCCGATCAACACTGATTGAGAGATTGAATATATTGTGATAATTCATATTATATGCTACTAATTGAAATAATTCCCGAGACATGAAGCATTGTTCCATTGCCAAATGATTTATATCTGTTACTGGAATTAAGATCAACACTAATTGAAATAAAACCTGTGACGTGCAGCGTGGAAGTGAAAGATAAAGCACATGTTTTAATTGTAATGTTTTAGACAGGGGAGTGACACATTTCGGGATGAATACCATTGACGTACCTATAATGTTTATAGAGAAAATTTTGAACTTTAAACTCATTCCATATCTGCCTTCGCAATTTTTAGCGCATTTTCTCATTTATGGAAAAAATGCCCTGTTGTGCTCGTCATGTCCGTCTGTGTGTCTGTCGGTCCGTCCGTCCGTGACTTCACGTTTTCGTCGACGTGAAAAAATGCGCTCTCTGTCACTCACTGCAGTGACTACTGAGTTATATTTTTGCTTGCATTTTCGTCATGTCCATCTGTCTGTCCGTCTGTGACTCCACGTTTTCGTCGACGAGAAAATGCGCTCTCTGTCACTCACTGCAGTGAGTACTGTTGTTATATATAATTATATATTATATATATATATTATATTATAACTCACAGTGAGTACTATGAGTTATATTTTTTACTTGCATTTCCTACAGTCAGTGGATGTTCTGGGATTGCTGCACCTAGTGGCTTGGTTCACGAGCTGCGTCGAGAAGGAGGCGTCAAATGCCATCAGACTGCAAAATAAAAAGTCTGCCCATGATATTACTTCGGACGGTAAAGCGTCAGGTAATGTTACAATATGTGTCATAAAAGTGCCATGTTGAAAATTTGATTCTATCAACCATTGCAAATATTGACTAATTTTTTTTAATTGACGCATTCCTTTGCTTATGGCAAAGTTTTAAACTTTAATTTTGTAAATTGGTTGGATTATTTCGGACGGTGAAGCGTCAGGTAATGTTACATTATGTGCCACTAAACTGCCATGTTGAAAATCTTATTCTATCAACCGTTGCAAATATTAACTAATTTATTTTCATTGTTGCATTTTTTATCTTATTTTGCTTATGGCAAAGTTTTAAAGTTTTATCATGTAAATTGTGTGGATTATATATTGAAAACCAATTCGGAAAATGTTTTTGCCTACCGGTCGTATTTGTTACAAATTTATTTTTTAGATATTCCGGACCTAGTGTTTGTTGCAAAGATTCTTTTAAAATTTTCATGTTCTAGCTTTGTTAAAAAGATTCTTATTAAAAACTTTAGGGCACACAAATTTCTTTCTTATAAATTTTTACTATACTTTTTTAATTTTCAGTACCTAGCTTTTATTGTAAAATATTTTATATTTTCAGGGTTCAGGACCTAGCTTTTATTACAATTTTTTTATATTTTCAAGGTTTGGGGCCTAGCTTTTTACAACATTTTTATATTTCCAGGGTTTGGGGCCTAGCTTTTATTACAAAATTTATTGTACTTCCAGGGTTGGGGCCTAGCTTTTATTACAAATTTTTTATATTTTCAGGGTTCAGGGCCTAGCATTTATTACAAAAATTTTTATATTCTCAGGGTTCAGGGCCCAGCTTCTATTACAAAATATTTTATATTTTGGGGTTTGGGGCCTAGCTTTTGTTAAAATTTTTTTATATTTTCAGGGTTCAGGGCCTATAGCTTTTATTACAAAATTTTTTATATATTCAGGGTACAGGGCCTAGCTTTTATTACAAAATTTTCAATATTTTCAGAGTTTGAGACCTAGCATTTTTCTAAGGGTTTAGGACTAAGCTTTTTTACAAAATTTTCAATATTTTCAGGGTTTTGGGCATAGCTTTTATTACAAAATATTCAATATTTTCAGGGTTTGGGACCTAGCTTTTTTCTCTAGGTTTGGGGCTTAGCTTTCATTACAAATTTTTTTATATTTCCAGGGTTTGATCAAAGTAATGCTGACGTAGATCTGCGCGTGATGTGGACAAGCTTAGCCAGCCTCCCGTGGCTGTGTCAGGACACCTGCTGGCTCCACTGGCAGCCTGACAAAGTGGAGAGCTTCAAGTGGAAGGATAAAGTCCTTTGGACCCGCGGTGAGTAAAGTCCTTTGGACCCGCGGTGAGTTCTTTGGACCCGCGGTGAGTAAAGTCCTTTGGACCCGCGGTGAGTTCTTTCGACCCGCGGTGAGTAAAGTCCTTTGGACCCGCGGTGAGTTCTTTGGACCCGTGGTGAGTAAAGTCCTTTGGACCCGCGGTGAGTTCTTTGGACCCGCGGTGAGTCCTTTGGACCCGCGGTGAGTTCTTTGGACCCGCGGTGAGTAAAGTTCTTTGGACCCGCTGTGAGTAAAGTCCTTTGGACCCGCGGTGAGTAAAGTTCTTTGGACCCGCGATGAGTAAAGTCCCGTGGACCGCGGTGAGTAAAGTCCTTTGGACCCGCGGTGAGTAAAATCCTTTGGACCCGCGGTGAGTAAAGTTCTTTGGACCCGCGGTGAGTAAAGTCCCGTGGACCCGCGGTGAGTAAAGTTCTTTGGACCCGCGGTGAGTAAAGTCCATTGGACCCGCGGTGAGTAAAGTTCTTTGGACCCGCGGTGAGTAAAGTCCCGTGGACCCGCGGTGAGTGAAGTCCTTTGGACCCTCGGTGAGTAAAGTCCTTTGGACCCGCTGTGCGTAAAGTTCTTTGGACCCGCGGTGAGTAAAGTCCTTTGGACCCGCGGTGAGTAAAGTCCTTTGGACCCGCGTTGAGTAAAGTCCTTTGGACCCGCGGTGAGTCCTTTGGACCCGCGATGAGTCCTTTGGACCCGCGGTGAGTCCTTTGGACCCGCAGTGAGTCCTTTGGACCCGCGGTGAGTAAAGTTCTGTGGACCCGAAGTTCTTTGGACCCGCGGTGAGTAAAGTTCTTTGGACCCGAAGTTCTTAGGACCCGTGGTGAGTAAAGTTCTTTGGACCCGCGGTGCGTAAAGTTCTTTGGACCCGCGGTGAGTAAAGTTCTTTGGACCCAAAGTTCTTTGGACCCGCGGTGAGTAAAGTTCTTTGGACCCGCGGTTAGTAAAGTTCTTTGGACCCGCGGTGAGTAAAGTCTGTGGACCCGAAGTTCTTTGGACCCGCGGTGAGTAAAGTCCTTTGGAGCCGCAGTGCGTAAAGTTCTTTGGACCCAAAGTCCTTTGGACCCGCGGTGAGTAAAGTTCTTTGGACCCGCGGTGAGTAAAGTCCTTTGGACCCGCGGTGAGTAAAGTCCTTTGGACCCGCGGTAAGTAAAGTCCTTTGGACCCGCGGTGAGTAAAATGTTACGTAGCTGTTGTGATCACTCAAAGCACTAAATCCTAACGCGTACGTAGAAATTAGTCCATAAGAAATGGCTTTATTTAACCCTCTGTTTTTTTAATATTTCAGTATATAATTGTCAAAAATGATTTCCACGTTCGTATATAATTAGGTTTCAATCTCTTTCGAGTAAATGTCTCTTAGTTTATTAATTGCACCTGTATTTTCTCAGTTTCTAAACTGATGATGAATCTGGCCTCTGAAAATTCATCGATGTAAATTTCGATGATTTGCCTGACGTTTTCTTTACATTACATTTTACATTACATTTCTTGTCAGAATTGGCAAGGAGGCCGGGCGGTTAAGCACAGCAGAATTTGAAGCAGTGAGTTGCGAGTTCGAGATCGCAACAAGCTGTGAATGTTCTGCGATGTTAAGAATCGGCGACAGGCCTACTGCCTAATACACGCTGAAACCGCTATTTTTTTAAGGCCTACAGCTTAATAAACGCTGAAACCGCTATTTTTTTTAAGGCCTACGGCTTAATAAACGCTGAAACCGCTATTTTTTAAGGCCTCGCTGAAACCGCTATTTTTTAAAGCCTACGGCTTAATAAACGCTGAAACCGCTATTTTTTAAGGCCTACGGCTTAATAAACGCTGAAACCGCTATTTTTTTAAGGCCTACGGCTTAATAAACGCTGAAATCGATATTTTTTAAGGCCTACGGCTTAATAAACGCTGAAACCGCTATTTTTTAAGGCCTACGGCTTAATAAACGCTGAAACCGCTATTTTTTAAGGCCTACGGCTTAATAAACGCTGAAACCGCTATTTTTTAAGGCCTACGGCTTAATAAACGCTGAAACCGCTATTTTTTATTACTAATATTCTTTACCCCCTCAGATCCCGTGGCTAAGCTGCTATGCCTGCGTATTTTGTGCTGCTGTGTGGCCGTGGTGCCCGGCGCTGCTCTACACAGCATCGTCAGCTGTGTTTCTCAAGACGACGCTCCGCTACCTATGGAAGACGTGGGCAATATCGACGATGATGATGACGTGGTTATTATTGAAAACGAAAATGGCGCTGCCAGTCGTGATATTAGTAACCGAAAATTCGGAGTTAGCGTCGACGAAGGCCGAAAATTCGGAGTTAGCGTCGGCGAAGGCCCAAAATTCGGAGTTTACGTAGGGGAAGGCCAAAAATTCGGAGTTAACGTCGGCGAAGGCCGAAAATTCGGAGTTAGCGTCGGCGAAGGCCGAAAATTTGGAGTTAACGTTGGCGAAGGCATGGGTGGAGTCACTGACAAGAAACCGATTGTCGCTGAGAGCAAGAGATTCACCAGAGGCAGTACTGGTGCTATTAAGAGTGCCACAGGCCAAACCCCGAAGAACGAATCCAGCGGAACAAACCCTGACGCTCCAAATGCAGAAACAAACACCGCAAACACGCAAGCAAATTCACATTTCTCGGTGTCGGCAAGCGTGGTTATCATGCACCATTTACCTTTGATGGCCGCTACACTTAAGGTTCATGAAGCTCAGGCGCTTTGTGACCTCCTGCTACCTCGCCTCCTGCAGCACACACATCCTGCAGTTGCTGCTGCAGGAGCACGGACACTCAGACACCTGCCCTGTGCCCTGCTGGGTACTGCCCACGTCAGGGCACGTGCCCCCGCCACGTCACCTGACGTCATCTGCTGCAGCGTCTGCGATGCCAGGGAGTCCGCCCGTCTCTGGGACGCCTACTGCGTCGCCCTCGCCGGTACGCGGGTGCCAACTTAGAGGGTTTAGCTTTTAATGGATTATTTGATTACCTATTAATATTGCATAAAGAGTTCTTTATATGTCTTGGATAAAGAGTTCTTTATATGTCAACTAAGATTGCGTGTTGTATAGGTGTGGGAACTTGGATTTTTAGCTTATAATGGATTATTGGATTAATATTATTGGATGAAGAGTTCTTTATATGTCAACTAAGATTGCGTGTTGTATAGGTGTGGCAACTTTGGGGGTTTAGCTTTTAATGGATTATTAGATTATTATTACTGGATAAAAAGTTTTATTATATGTCAATTACAGCTTGCGTGTTGTATAGGTGTGACAACTTAGAGGGTTTAGCTTTTAATGGATTATTAGATTATTATTACTGGATAAAGAGTTTTATTATGTCATTTGAAGATTGCGTGTTGTATATAGGTGTGAGAACTTGGATTTTTAACTTATAATGGTTTATTTGATTATTATTATTGGATAAAGAGTTTATTATATGTTAAGATTAAAGAATGCGTGTTATATAGGTGTGGGAACTTGGGGGTTTAGCTTATAATTGTTTATTTGATTATTATTATTGGAATGAAGATGTAGGGTAGGTGTCAAATAAAGATTTCGTGTTGTATAGATGTGGGAACTTGCAGTTTTTACCTTATAATGTATTATTAGATTATTACTATTGGATAAAGAGTTTTATTATATGTCAGTTACAGATTGCGTGTTGTATAGATGTGGGAACTTGGGGTTTTAGCTTATAATAGATATCATCGATAGCAGATATGAATTATTTTATTATTATTATTGGAAAAAGACTTTTATTATATGTCAATTGAAGATTATGTGTTGTAGGTAAAGGTGTAGAAACTTCAGGTTTACAGTTGATAATGGATCGCATACAGGTGAGAATACATATAGTTTATTGTATACAGTACCAGTTATAAATATTGCCTGTATTATTGCTGTTGGAACTTTAGGATTTAGCTTATATTCGATCGCATCGAGGCGCGAATGTAAACAGTTCTATTATATCACAAATAAAGCTAACACATCTGAAAGAATTCGATCCAATAAGTACGAATTTGATCTGAACAAAAAATATGTTGATGCGACCGAGAGCATTATTTGAAATCAAGTCTATCCATATTGGGTCATTAAAAACATTTATTCAATAAAAAAGAAAATTAGTTCTTCATTATGATTATTTTTATAGTTCTTCAATTATGATTTTTTTTCACAGATTCTTTCAAGACGAACGCTCCAGAAGTGCCCACAGTTCACCATTCATCCGAACCATCATCACCAAAATCATCTTCGCTGCTGCAATCTTATCTAATTCCTGTCTCTTCATCACAACACAAACTAAACCCAGAGTTCTTCCTTCCGTTCTACAAACTCCTACTGAGGAAAGAACCTGAGGTTCTCATATCCTTGATACACTCGCTACCTGCACTTGTGCACCACGGTGCATTCACGTACCTGCGTCTGGTGCAATTTTTACACTTGTTATACCATGAGAATCTTTTAGTTCAGTCCGCCCTAGCACAGTCCCTAGGTACACTAGTTGCTGTACGTATCGCTGATGATGAATCTGCTGGAGAAGAAGAATCCACGTTCAGGTTTATTATTCAGTTCATAATCCAGAGTTCGCTGGATGTTGAGCTTCTAAACCGTCCAGCTACTCATACTGGACTTATACTGGCGATCCAGAACATTGTACAGCTGAGCACGCCAGAGAGCTGCGTCTACGTGTTACTGGCTCTGCTCCACTGTCTCTGTCTCACGCAACACCGCAACATTATTGCCCAGGTGATGTACTGTCTCTGTCTCACGCAACATTATTGCCCAGGTGATGTACTGTCTCTGCTCTACTGTCTCTGTCTCACGCAACACCGCAATATTAGTGCCCAGGTGATTTAGCTGTACAGTCTCTGTCTCACGCAACATTATTGCCCAGGTGATGTAGCTGCACTGTCTCTGTCTCACGCTGCAATAATAATGATAAAAATAAATAAATAAAAAAATAAATAAATAATGACGCTGTCATTATTATGAATATCATGATCCTTGTCACAATTAACCATCCAACTTACACAATTGGGTCCTGACGAATAATAGAAACGATTTCGTTCCTAAAAATAGACAAATCGGCAATGTTATATTCATATCAGAGGTAAATAGAACCAATAAAACTTGTAACCAGTTTCGTCTTGTCAGTGTAACCAAAGGCAGACCTGGTAACTGGTGTCAGCTCAAAAAACTAATGTTGCCCCAAGTAACTAGTGTCGGCCCATGTAACTAGTGTCGCCACAAGTAGCTAGTGTCTTCCTATGTAACTAATATAGGCCCAAATAACTAGTGGCAGCTCAAGTAACTGGTGTCGGCCCAAACAACTANGGTTCACCTAGCGGTTCCGTGTCTGGCTGAGCGGTTCACGTCGTCAGCTCAAGTAACTAGTGTCATCTAAGTAACTAGTGTTCTCTTATCAGGTTCACCTAGCGGTTCCGTGTCTGGCTGAGCGGTTCACGTCGTCAGCTCAAGTAACTAGTGTCATCTAAGTAACTAGTGTTCTCTTATCAGGTTCACCTAGCGGTTCCGTGTCTGGCTGAGCGGTTCACGTCGTCAGCTCGTCAGCTGTTCCACCGCAACCGTCAGCTGCTCTGTAAAGTCTTCGTCGAGCGCGCCACAGAGACCAACCTCGAGCTCGTCCTCAGGCATGCGGCAGAGCTCTTCAGAGACACCCAACTGCCGGGGGTATTCAGGTAGGGGGGCTGGGGGGGTCAGAGACACCCACCTGCCGGGGGTACTCAGGTAGAGACACCCAACTGCCGGGGGTACTCAGGTAGAGACACCCAACTGCCGGGGGTACTCAGGTAGAGACACCCAACTGCCGGGGGTACTCAGGTAGGGGGGCTGGGGGGTCAGAGACACCCAACTGCCGGGGGTATTCAGGTAGAGACACCCAACTGCCGGGGGTATTCAGGTAGAGACACCCAACTGCCGGGGGTACTCAGGTAGAGACACCCAACTGCCGGGGGTATGAATGGGGGGCCGCTGGGGGTTGGGGTTGCTGCCGGAGGGGGTTCTCAAGTGGAAAAGTTTCGGGCGATTTTTAGAGCAATTTCTTGCTATGGGCTGACCACTTGCGCGAGGTATTTTATTGCGGTTGCGCCTAGTGTGAGATGCTCAGGTAGGTTGACATCTAAAGTGAGGTCTGTAAGATGGGAGACATGTTATTTTTGGACATTCTAGGATAAAAGATACTCAGGACTCAACGCTAGAAATTATTTTTATATTTATAACGCTGCAAATTCTGTAATTGATGGACATTCTAGTATAAAAGATACTCAGGGCTCAACATACGAAAATATTATTATATTTATAACGCTAAAAATTCTGTAATTATTTGTCTTGCTTTACGTTTCAGATACTGTGATTCCTCGTGGGATGATCTAGTCGAGTTCACGAGCTCAAACTTCCGTCACCTGTTGCCCGGCCTCGTGACGCGGGCCGTGAAGGAGGGTAAACCAGCTCTGGTCACCGTGCTGCTCAAATGTGTCAACAAAACACATAAACACGAAGACAAACAAGATGAAGACGAAGAACTGCTAGGCACTCAGTCTTCTTCCGTGGTCCAGCAACAGAAACCGTCCAGTGGCAGCAACGCCCCTAACTCGTTATTGATCGATCATTTCCAGCACATCGTGGTGTATGCAACGTTCTTCCAGACGCCCGAGGTTCTCGAGAAAAGCATTCAGTATGTGGCTGATGCCACTTCTTTCCATGCTGTGTTCATCCGTCGCTGCAGCATCCAGCTGCAGCTAAATGAACTTGTATTAGGACTACATGACTTCAAAGAGAAGACCTTACGTGAACTAGAGTGTCTTAGTGCTCTCGATGCCCCTGCACCGCAGCCAGAAACCCAGCGGCATTTGCAGCAACTTGTACAACTGCAACAACAGATTCGACAAAGATCTCCTAACCTTGAAGTCATAAAAAGCTTCGTTACGAGTCGCCTCCTTGGGGTTCTAATGTTCCTTGACAACAAGATGGTGTGTCCTCAAAGTCTCGTACATGAACGTTCACAGGCAGTGTGGGCCGTTGCCGAAGTGATCTCAGTGGTCGGGAGGCAAGGAGTCAGTAGCGTTGCGAGGAAACTTATCGCTACTTTGAAACTTGCGCTGGAACATACGAAACCCAGTGAGTGGAAGCGATGCGCTGTTGCGTGCCGAGAGTTCGTATTCCATCTGGAGCCCACTTTGTTGGATTCTCTGGTCGAGGAAATCGTAGTGATGATAACTCCGGTCGTGGCAAAGTTCCCTCTCGCCCTCGGACCAACCCTCAACAGGATTATATGCAAGCACCCTCATCTCAGCACGGCAGTCGAGCGGCTGCCTCAGTCGCTGCCGGACGTGCCCCAGCTGCGCTTCTTGCGCGCCGCGTGTCAGCATCGGCAGCGCAAAGAAAAACAAGGGTGAGTGTCTTCAATTGAAATGATTTTCTTACAAATGTGGCTAAATCTTTCCTAATTTTAATTATTTTTCTTCAAGTGAATTGATTATCTTACAAATATGCCAAATCTTTACTAATTTTAATTACCTTTCTTATTAATATTCCGCTTAATCCCATTTCTATTCAACTGTACTACTGGATTCAGAGTTTCGTCGTTAAGAAACTTCGAGGATTCTATTCCTTTACCGGCATCCCGTGGCTCTCGCGAGTTCAACACTCAATTATTAGGGACTTTAAATGAGTGCTCCTTATAGTAAAGATTCTATTTCAATCAAAACCTGTCATTGGTTGACGTCGTAGTTTATTCTTTAAATTGACTTGCTTGATTTATTTTATTATGAATATTAGTTTATTGGGAAAAATATACTTAACGCGTATATTCTTTCTAGCCTGTCGCCCCGGTAGCTTCTGTCTTCCTTGTGGCCGTGCGTGAAAGCTCTTGAACACGAAAGCTTAAATTGACTGTGCTCGATTTATTTTATTATGAATATTAATTTATTGGGAAAAATCTTGATTTAATTGGGTTTATTGGGAAAAATATACTTAACGCGTTTGTTCTTTCTAGGCTGTCGCCCCGAGAACTCCTTTCTTCCTTGTGGCCGTGCGAGAAAGCTCTTGAACACGAAAGCTTTAATTTACTTTACTCAATTTATTTTCTTATGAATATTAATTTATTGGAAAAAAGCTTGATTTAATTTATTATGAATATTAATTTATTGGGAAAAATAAACTTAACGCTTTTGTTCTTTCTAGGCTGTCGCCCCGAGAACTCCTTTCTTCCTTGTGGCCGTGCGTGAAAGCTCTTGAACACGAAAGCTACGACGTACGTCTGCACACCGTGCAGAGACTGCTGCACCTGCTGCACAGCCATCACACACAGCTGTGCACTGCAGCTGTGCAGTGCAGTGAGGACGATGCTGGGCGTCCTGACGAAGGCGCTGAAGAGGGAGGTGGTTCTAAAGGCGTGCTCGATCATCTCGCTATTGCGCTCATTGCGCAGTGTCGGTCTTCGTCCGAACAGCTCCAGGTGTGGATTTACCAACAATTTGTGGATTTACCAACAAAAATATGAGTAGTAAGAAATTAAAACGTATGTAGTTCGTAAAGAATAGAATAGAAGTGTCGGCACTGAAGAAATAGGCCCATGGCCTGTTGCCGATTCTTGAACTTTTCGTGACTTGATTCACAAGGGATCCGGCCTTTGGAACCCGATCTTTCCATAACTGACGATTGATTGAGATAGCTGCTGGACTTATTGCCTGGTCCGTAATTTGTTAGGCATTTTAAGACTGAACATATGAATAAATGAAGCTTTATAAATGTAGTTACTGGGGTTACCACGAGTGTGATGTGTGCAGGTTCTGGTGGCCGAGGCGCTGGGTTATGAGTGTGATGTGTGCAGGTTCTGGTGGCCGAGGCGCTGGGTTTGCTAGGAGCCATCGACCCGTCGCGCCTGATGCGCCTGCAGCTCAGCGCTCACCACGACCGCGTGCACACGTCGCTCTCCAGCGTGGGCTTCATCCGCGACCTGGCCATCGAACTGGCGAGGGCCTTCCTCTCCGCCACCGACTCCAACATCCAGACCTGCGCCTCCTTCGCCCTGCAGGTGAGATCCTCTCTCTCCGCCACCGACTCCAACATCCAGACCTGCGCATCCTTTGCCCTGCAGGTGAGGTCCTCTCTCTCCGCCACCGACTCCAACATCCAGACCTGCGCATCCTTCGCCCTACAGTTCAGGATACTAATATATTTATTACCTGGGTTTCCTCTGCTTTTTAGGGGGCCTTGCCCCTTAAAAATCCCTCGATTGCACGCAGACTCGTGCAGTAACTACAAGCTTTAACTACAAGTAGTGACCTAAGATCAGTAGGCGCCGATTCCTTGTCTGATATTATTGGTGTATTTAGCTTGATAAGCTGCCAGTGATTGATTGACTGGATTACGAGTCACCGATTGAATGAATCACTGGCTGCTAATCAAGCTAAATCCACTAAGAATTTTTGTTAGTGCGGCTGCATTTTAGGATACTAGTAATATTTTTTTTGGAGTGTCAATCATAATGCAAAGGAAGATGATTATATTTGCTTCTAAGAAAAGTTTTGTAGATCGGTATTTCTTAGAGGGGAAGATTTCGTAGATCATTGTTGTCCCGGGGAGGTTTTAGAAGGAGATAATAATACCTAATAAATGAGAATTTGGCTTTTGAGGCATATATTAAAAGAATTATTTGATCGAATTAAGTAATAATTTTTCTGGATGTGAATTATTGCCAGTAGAAGTCTACTGTATTCATTTTATTGGCCCGTAGAATACAGCATCGTAATCAATGATAAAGTTCACGTGTCTTATTTATTCCAGGAGCTGCTGCGCATCCACAACATCCGTGACAACCCATCAGGCTCTGACGTCGGAGCCGAGGTGTGGCGATCCCTCCCTAACCATGTACAGCACCTGCTTGGCCCGCTGCGCAGTTCCAAGTATATTATAAGTGGGGCAAAAACCCCCCGCGTGGCAATGCCATCTGACTCCTCTTGGCTACCGGCCTTCGGGTCCCGAGAAGTGGCCAGCTTTAAGGCATGGATCCAGACATGGATGGTACGATTGCTGGACCTCGTCGAGAATGAAAATGACTATGAGGTGTTCTCGGTGTGCAAGCCGATCTTTCGTCGCGACACCAACACTGCACTGCACATTCTGCCTCAACTTGTGATGTCAGTGCTGCTGCACTCGCCTCGCCACCACGCCAAAGTCGCCACTGAAGTTCTCGCTGTGCTGGCCGGGTCCGAGAACGCAGAGTCTTCTTGGTCTTCCGTGATGCCCGGTACGCGTGAAGGCGCAGACATGAGTCCATGTTTACTCTCTGAGCGACACATGAATCAGCTCTGCGCTGAGACCGTCTTCAGCGTTCTGGACGCCATCAACGTATGGGTCCAGCAGCGCTGGGATGAAGAAGCTTCCAATCGACGACCCAAAAGCGCCTTTATGCCCAGCGTTCAGCTGCAGCAGCTTCTGGATTTCCTTTCCGTGTTGCCATCCGACCAACTTGCGCGGTCTGCCTTCAGGTGCCAGGCTTACACTCGAGCTCTTAGACACATTGAAGAGCATATCAGGGAGCGGCCAAACTCACTTAACTCGCAACTGACGTTCATGCAGCAGATCTACAACGCGCTTGATGAACCTGATGGCGTAAAAGGAATTGCTGGGATGCGGTCAATGGAGCCCTCTGTGCATGACTCCATCTTGCTCTACAAGGCCAACGGCAGGTTCCACGACGCTTTGGGTTGCTACGAGTATCTTTGTTCTGTTAAGAGTGAAAAGAAATCCCCTGAAAACTCCGTTGAAAACAATAATACCGACAACATCAAAATCAATGACGTGGATTCCGTCGCCGAAGATCCGCATATTGGTCTTCTTCAGTGCTACATCAGCCTTGACCAGCCACAAGCGGTGCTCGATATCACGCAAGCTATTCTCTCCAGAGACGCAAAGGAGGACGCGAGGCTCAATGAATTCCGCATGGAGGCAGCTTGGCGCTTATTCCATTGGGACGATTTGCAAAAAATGGTGCGCACTCAAACTTCTTCAAATCCTCACGAAAACACCGATCCTTCTACGACCATTAATGGAGACCACTTAGATGTAAAAGGTCCATCGTCGGTGTCTGTTGGCCCCGCCATGTCGTGGGGTGAGGGTGTCGGAGAAGTGCTTGTCAGTGCTCTGAACAGCGAAACTCGACGCTATTATGCGGGACTCAAGAAATTAAGGAAGCAGTTAGTACCTCTGATCGGAGCCGCTACCATGGAGAAAGGCGCGTACCAAAGAGCATACCCATACTTCCTGAAGCTGCACATCCTGAGTGAACTTGAAGATCTTCTCTCTAGGATCATGAAAATTGTTCAAACTGGAACCATCTCTGAACCTAATGAATGTTTTATCCTGAGACCAACAAGTGCCGGCAAGAAGCCAGGCAATGATCTTGACGACATTCGAGTGGTGGTGCAGAAATGGCAGCACAGACTCGAGCTCGTGCAGACATCCTATAAGAACTTAGAACCGCTTCTAAGTTTTCGCAGAACCTTGCTCATGCTTGCCAGAGAAATGCTGCTCAAGAGCTCGGTAGGAAACGACGCTTGCTGTAAGACAAGTGAACTTGTGCAGCTGCTTGAGGAAGAAGTGAAGAAACTGTGGCTGCACAGTGCAAAAGTTGCTAGGAAAGCTGGCATGTTGCAGCAGGGAGAGACCGCATTCCTGCATGCCGGGAGTGGGCATGAGGTGTTCCTCGAGCGTGCCAAGTGGTTACAGGCAAAGTCAGATAATTTGGCTGCTCTTGAAGAGCTGAAGCGCGGCATGCGACGTCATTATCCTAACCCGACCGCGTACAAGAACATGGACGGCAATCTGCGCGAGAGGGAATCGTTTGCGCGAGCCCAGCTCTTGCTGGCGCGTTACAGTGAAGACGCCGCTATTTTGGACGTAAGTACAATGATGTTGACGTACAGGATGGCCTGTGACGTGTACCAAGAGGGTGAAGACGGACATTTCCACTTCGCCATGTACATTGACAGGATACTCAACCATAGACGAGAGAAAAGCGTTGATTATCAATACCACATTGTGTCGAGTCTGTGCAAATCTCTTGCTAACGGCAACGCTCATCTTTATGAGAGTTTACCTCGCATGCTGGGAATATGGCTTGACTTGGGCAGTCTCGTCGTCCAAAACGAAATCGCGGCCAAAAAAGCCCCTCCCCCGAACATCGCCATTGTCAGGGAGAAACTCCAGCAAATGAACACGCTTATTGGCGGGACCGTGGACACACTTTGCCTCTACCAACTCATGACCGCGTTACCTCAGTTGGTTTCTAGAATCTGTCACTCACATCCAGGAGTGTTCAAGGTTATCTCGCATATAATCGCTGCTTTAATGGCAGCTTACCCACAGCAGTGCATGTGGCACATGATCGCCGTCTCAAAGTCTTCGTTTAACGTCAGGGTCCAGCGATGTCTTGAGACTTTTGAGCTCGCCAAGCGAAGGAGGCCGGGACTTGAGAAACTTATCTCTGACGTCACCAGACTTGCGGACAGGTTTATTGAGCTCTCCAACAAGCCTGTCGACAAGGTGATTAGAGGAACTTTTGTCTATGGTTATTTAGAAATTAAGTTGTTTCATGATGACATGTAGGTATAAAAATTTAAAAATCTTGAGGACAGGTATAAAAATTTCAGATCATCTCTGATGTCACCAAACTTGCTGACAGGTTTATTGAGCTTTCCAACAAGCCTGTCGACAAGGTGATTGGAGGAACTCTCATTTATGAGTATTTAGAAATTAAATGGCGTCATGAAGACAGGTATAAAAATTTAAAAATTTTGAGGATAGGTATAAAAATTTAAAAATCAGGTGATTATAAGTACTCTCATTAATGAGTATTTAGAAATTAAATGGTTTCATGAAGACAGGTACCTATAAACATTTAAAAATCTTGAGGATAGGTATAAAATTTTCAGAATCTTGAGGATCTTTATAAAAGCAACTAATACCCTAAAGAAATCTAATAAATGGGTTAAATCCAAAATTATCCAACTGTCATACTCATCGATAATCTTACGATTGGTACGATCATAGCTTTAAACGAACAAAAGTTTTATTCCCTAATGTCTTATCATATTCATAGCTGTACAGGATCTTTGTTATATTTCCTAATGCTTTATCACATTCATAGCTATACATAAACTTTGTTATATTCCCTAATGTCTTCTCATAATCATAGCTGTATATGAAAAAAATATATATTTTCCAATGTCATTACTAAAAGTTACTTACTAAATTACTAAATAAATTTAATTACTAAAAACACTAAATAAATAAATTAAATAATTAATTACTAAACGACATGTTGTTTGCAGGGCATGAGCGTGTTGTTATATTCTCTAATGTCTTCTCATAATCATAGCTGTATATGAAAAAAATATATATTTTCCAATGTCATTACTAAAAGTTACTTACTAAATTACTAAATAAATTTAATTACTAAAAACACTAAATAAATAAATTAAATAATTAATTACTAAACGACATGTTGTTTGCAGGGCATGAGCGTGTTGTTATATTCTCTAATGTCTTCTCATAATCATAGTTATATATTAAAAAAATTTATGCTCTCTAATGTCATTACTGAAAGTTAATTACTAAATTACTTAATTAATTTAATTACTAAAAATAGTAAATAAATAAATTAAATAGTTAAATACTAAATACTCGAATCTCTATAGAGTTTGTAAACTAAAAGGCATGTTGTTTAAAGTTACTTACTAAATTACTTAATTAATTTAATTACTAAACAACGTGTTGTTTACAGGGCATGAGCGTGGTGAGCGTGAGCTCTCTGGTGCGCTCACTGCCGCGCCTGCTGAGCGAGAGCGCATTCTCTGAGGTGCTCATCCCCACACAGCGCCAGATGAGCGTGGTGCTCCCTCCCCACGCCAAGGGGAGCGCTCTTGGGGGAGTCGCAGCTCCCAACGAGCATAACCCCTTCCCCAGGTGGGTGCATAACCCCTTCCCCAGGTGGTAACCCCTTCCCCAGGTGGTACATAACCCCTTCCCCAGGTGGGTACATAACCTCTTCCTTAGGTGGTAACCTCTTCCCCAGGTGGGTACATAACCCCTTCCCCAGGTGGGTACATAACCCCTTCCCCAGGTGGGTACATAACCCCTTCCCCAGGTGGGTGCATAACCCCTTCCCCAGGTGGTAACCCCTTCCCCAGGTGGTACATAACCCCTTCCCCAGGTGGGTACATAACCTCTTCCTTAGGTGGTAACCTCTTCCCCAGGTGGGTACATAACCCCTTCCCCAGGTGGGTACATAACCCCTTCCCCAGGTGGGTACATAACCCCTTCCCCAGGTGGGTGCATAACCCCTTCCCCAGGTG